GAGGCGGCGGCGAGCTTGACGCGGAGCCGCGCGTGCTCCTCCTCGGTCAGCGCCTGGTCGCGGCCCGCCGGCGCGAGGGGCGGCTGCGGGATGGAGTAGCCCCTCAGCCGAGGGCCCTGCCCGCAGGAGCCGCCGCCGTCGACGGCGCCCTCCGGCTCCGCGCCTTCCGGCTCCGCGCCCTCTAGCTGGCTGCGGAGGCTGATCGATGCGGGCGCGGGCGGCGTAGCGCCGATGGCGCCGGCGCCGGCGGTGCTCGCCGCATCGTCCGCCGCCTTCTCGTTTGCCGCGTCGTCTGCTGCTCCGAGGAGCGCCGCCTCGAGGCGCGCCTGCACGAGGGCGAGGGGTGTGCGGGGGTGGCGTTCGACTGGAGTTGGGATGCAAGGGGCGAGAGGGCGAGAGGGCGAGATATGAGGGGGGGGGGGGGCGAGCGAGGAGAGCGAGAGAGGGAGAGAGAGGCGCGCCTTGAACGCTTGAAGCTCATCGAGTGATGGCTCAGCCTTGGCGTGCCGCTTCGGTGCGCCGAGCCTGCCGCCGCCGCCCGCAGCGGCGGCGCCCTCCGTACCAGCGGCGACGAGTACGCGCACCGAGCCGTCCTCGCGGAGGGAGAGCTCAACCTACAGAAAGGCGCAGGGGAGCTTCCTGAAAGGCTCCTAGAAGGCTCCGCGTGGCTGGCCTCCGGAGGCGGAACTTGAGACCTTGGCATGCGGCTGCTCCTTGCTGGCCGGCGCCGAGGCTGCCTTCTTGGCCTCCTTGGGCGCAGCAGCTCCGCCGGCTGGCGGCTTGACGGCTGAGCCCTGGAGGAGGGCGAGGCCGGACTTCTTGCGCGGCGGTGGCGGTGCCGTCTTGGCAGCCAGGAGCGGCGTCGCCGTCGCCTCCGCCTCCGCCTCCGCCTCCGCCTCCGCCTCCGCCCCCGCCTCCGCCTCCGCCTCCGGCTCGCCCTTCTCTGCCGATGGAGGGAGGAGCACGTTGATCGGGCCGCACACAGCGGCACCCTCCGCCTCGGTGCCGCCCTCCCCTGCTGGAGCGCCGCGAGCCTCCCCCTCCGAAGCCAGGCTGCCGGCCGGCTCTGCCCCGGCGGCTGCCGAGCCCGCCAGCGCGTCCGCCTGCTGCAAGATGAGCTCGGCGGCGGTCGAGTCGTTGACGAGCATGTCGGCGGTCGCCTATGGGGAAGGCTCCGAGGCGGTCCATACGAAGCCTCCCAGAGGAGAGTCGCTGGACCTGCGAGGTCGCCGTCTCGGTCCGCCCCGCCACAGAGAGGGTGAGGGAGAGGCCACGGCGGCGCGTCGAGCCGGTTGCCTGGTCCGGCTGCCGCTCAGCCGGCAGCGCCGCCACCTCCCCCCCCTCCTCCTCCTCGGCGCTCTCGAGGTCGCTCTCCTGGATGGAGTCGAGGATGGGGTCGAGCCGCAGGAGGCGGGCCTCTACCACGTCGCCGTCGGGGCCGTGCGGCTTATACGAGACCTCGAGCCTGCGGGGCAGAGTGCACAGAGGGTGAGGACAGGGCCGTCGAGGACAGGAGCGTCGCTGCATTCTAGTGGGGATGCGTGTGTTCTCCGGGAAGAGCCGTGCTTGCTCGACTAGCCAGAGCCTGTGGCGAGCGTCTACGGCACCGTACCCGGCGAGTGCGCCGGAGAGCACCGCTGCGATCGCGGTCGCCTCGTCTTCGAAGCCCTCGGAGCGGGGCGCGGGGCGTTTGCCGAGAACACACGTGTGCAGGGGCCGGCAGCTCGATACGAGCGGGTCCCCACTCTCCTCGGACGCCTCGCTCGTGGCATCGCTCGCGGTGTCGCTGCCGTACTCCCACTCCTCTGCCTCGGCCGCTGCCGCCTCTGCCTCCTGCTCCACCTCTGCCGCCTCCGCCTCGGTCTCGGTCGCGTCGATGGCCGCAAGGGCCCAGGCGTGCAGCGCTGCGGAGTGCTGCCGCTCCTCCTGTGCCTCCTCCACTGCCTTCACCACCTCCTTCTCTTCCTCCTCCGCGGCCTTCTCCTCCTCCTCCTTCTCTTCCTCCTCCTCCTCTGGGCCGGCGCCCAACGCCTCTGAGGAGTTGAAGGGTGTGGCCGTCGACATCGGCGGGGGCGCGCCCTTCACCCCGTCGTCGAGCTCCGAGCGCCGCGGGCTCTGAGACGGCGAGAAGGACGGGGAGCGGCGGGAGGCTGGGCCTCGCGGCCGCGCCAGCAGCGCCGTCGCGAGCGCGTCCGCCTCGTGGCCCTTGATGTCCTCCTCCAGACCCTCCTCCTCGGCCGCCGCGTCCGATGCCGCCGCTGATACTGCGTCCGACACCGACGCGACCTCCTCGTCGTCGTCCTCGTCCGCCGCCGCCTCAAAGCGGACGTGGCGGCGCTCCGCCGTGTCCGCCCTCTCGCGCGAGAAGCGGGCTCCTCGGCTGGCGGCGTCGGCGTCGCGCGTGGTGCTGCGCAAAGAGATGCCGCCCGACTTGAGCTCGGCGCCGAGGGCGAGCTGGACGTCTCGGGAGGAGACGCTTCGCGGGCTGGCCGCCTCGTCCGACTGCGACGACTCGGAGAGGACCGTGTCGCCCGAGCCGCCCCTGGGCACGCCGCCCTTGGCAAGCCGCTCGATCTGCTGCGACATCTCCGACATGGTTGACGCCAGAGACGCGGCGAGATCCTCCCCGGAGCCGCTTTTCACTGGGCCGGCAGGCTCGGAGCCGCTCTTCACGACAGGCTCGGCAGACGCCGTCACCTCGTTGTCGTCCTCGTCGCCCTCGCCGAGCTCGGCGGTCAAAAGGGAGCCCGTGCTCTCAAAGTGCGTGGCAGCGGGAGGAGCGGTGGTAAGGCCACCGCACCACTCACGCTTGACGTCAGCGTTGGCAGCGCGTAGAGTGAGGCGGACGCTTCCGTCTGCTCCTAGAATTTTGATACCAAGCCCGTCATCGTCGCCACGGATGGACATGGAGTCGAGCGGCAGGATCCGGTCGGGCTTTCCGTCGAGTCGGGGTCCGATCTTCCGCACAGTGAAGCAAGGCCCGCCCTTGATTGTCTCGATTGCGCACCACCTTGCCTGGTACGAGGACGTGAGGCGGCCCGTCTTCACCTCGAGCGGGCCAGATGGCAGGGTGGCCACCATTCGGGCTGGCTGTAGGTCGGAGTGGCCGAACACCGGCTCCCGACGCCGCCGCAATTCACTCACGCCCGGGAAGAAAATTCGGGCACCGAGCAACCGGCAACATCATCCGTGGAGGTACAAGTGTTCGAAGAGAGAGTGGACCTGAGCAACGATATGACTTGGCGGCAAATGATCGCAGTGGGCGTCAGAAGAGTCGTCCTTGCGCGAGGAGAGCTCGATAAACTCGAGGGGCCAAAATATGCTGCTAGCGGGGCAGAGTTGCGCCGAAAGGCGGGAGAAGCCGCGAGTAAGGACCGTCCCCTCCCCTCAGCAGAGCGGGCGAGAATCCTAACGGATTCACGCACTGTTTATCTTCATCACCCAAAAACAATTTCAAGCCGCAAGTAAGGATACATTGGCGCGCTATGGAAGGGTCCGTCGGCGTCTCGTGCGTCCACACTGGGAGCTACACGGCACGGGTTGCTGACTGACATCGCACGGGAAGAAAATTCGCGGCGAGAACTATGGTGCGATGAACTAGCGATATGCTGGTGAAGAACAATCTGCTCCGTCGCACGTACGCTAGGCAGAAGCTGACCATACTCGCGTGGCTTTCCCCTTGGGATTCACGCCGGCTTTCGTCCCTTACCAAACGTCAGGTCCTGGACGCGGCGCGGACACCCGTGTCTAGATAGCAGCACCATGTCTTCCTCTCCTATCCTCGTCGACCGCGTCCCCGAGCTCCTCACTCGCACGGAGCCGCTCTCGCCTTCGCTGCTCGCGTCTCTCGCCGTCGGGCCGGATCCGACCATCGTCGAGCTTCCGGCGGGGACCGAGCTGCACAGCCTCGTTGCTTCGCACGTGATGAAGCACGCCAGCGCGGCGAGGTCGTTCGGCATGCGCGTGGGCTCTGGCAACAGCCGCTGCTGCGATGGCAGCGACAGCGAGGACGACGACGACGCGCAGAGCCGCGTCGCCACCAAGGTGCTCGGCCTCGGCACGTTTGAGTTCACCTTTGAGTCAGCCAAGATCTTTGCGGTGCACCACACGCTGGGCGAGGTGGTCGGCACGAATTGCAGCGCATCTCTCATGCGCACGCTCGTGCTCGTCTCGGACGCCGACATCAGCGCGCTCGTCCGCTTCTGCGACCATCTCATCGCCAGCGCGGACGCCTGCACCGGCAACGTCTTCAACATCTTCCGCTGGCACGTGCAGCATCAGTATTGGCACAAGGCCGAGACGGCGCAAGCTCGGCCCGTGGAGTCGGTGGTGCTGCCCGCGGAGCTGAAGAGCAAGCTGGTAGACGACATCGCTGACTTTGCGGCGCCGGCGACCAAGCAATGGTACGTCCAGCACGGCATCCCGTACAAGCGGTCCTACCTGCTGCACGGCTCGCCGGGCGCGGGCAAGACCTCCATCATCCAGGCGCTCGCGGGCCGCTTCAAGCGCAACGTGTGCTACTTCTCGTCGCTCTCGCACCCCGAGATGACGGACGACGGCCTCAAGAGCGCCGTGCAGAGGGTACCAGCCAAGTCGATCCTCGTCTTTGAGGACATCGACGCCGTCTTCACGGGAGGGCGCGGCAAGAAGGACGGAGACAAGTCCGCGGTGACCTTCTCCGGCTTGCTCAACGCGCTCGACGGAGTGGGCGGCTCTTCGGGGCAGCTCTTTGTGCTCACCACCAACCACCGCGAGCGGCTCGACCCCGCGCTGATCCGCAACGGCCGCGTTGACATGCACGTCCACTTCTCCGACGCGACTAGCGAGCAGATGCGGATGCTGTTTGCGCAGTTCTACCCAAAGGCGGAGCCAGCCCTTGCCGCGGCCTTTGAGGAGGCGCTGACCGCCGAGCTGGGCGAGAGGACCGTCTCGATGGCGCAGCTGCAGGCCTACTTTATCCAGATGCGCAAGCGACCCGCAGAGGCGGCCGCAGCGGAGGTGAAGAAGGTGATGGAGGAGGTGGTGACACGCATGATCCGGGAGGATGAGGGCGCGGCGTCCGATGGCAAGACGCAGCCGGGGGAGGAGGCGGCGGCGGAGGAGGAGGCGGCGGTGGCGGGGGAGGAGAAGAAGGAGCCGCAGAAGGCAGCCGCCGCGGCCCAGCCCAGTAAGGAGGTGCACGTCCACGTGCATGTCGGATCGTGAACGTGATCGAGGGCGAGCGGAGCCCGGTAGACCGTCTAGAGCCCGAACCTGGGAGCTGGTTTGTGTGTGGCTCGCGAGTGTCGCGAGAGCGCACGTGACTCGTGAGAGATAGAGAAGTGACAAGAAGAAGTATAGTGTACGAGAGGTGCCGCCCGAGACATCGGATATATGTGGGAGAACCGGCCAGGGACAAACCTCTCGAGGACGCGACACAGACCGCGGACCAGCACACCCCACCGCACATATGCAAGGTCATAGGTAGGAGCTTTCAAAAGCTGACATGGCCTCGCGGTCCACACACCACAGAGATCGATGTAGAGAGAGCGAGGCGACGCCCGCGCCCTGGCAGCGTGCGGCACCCTCAAACACGCTCAGGTGCGCCGCCGCCGCACGAGCAGCGCCCATCTTGAGCTCCGCCACCTGGTCGAGCGCGTCGCCGAGCAGCCCCTTGGCTACGCCGAGGTCGCGCAGCTGCTCCACGCCGCCGCTCGCCCGCACCTCGGCGGCGTTGTCGGCCACGTAGCGGCGGCACTGCGCGAGCAGCCGCCCGTCGCCCGTCGCGTGCGCCGCCTCGAGCAGCGGCACGGCGCTCGCCGGCCCGACGCTCTCCTGCAGCGCCTGTGCGCACAGCAGCTCGAGGCGCGGCACCTGGTACATCTGCGCCAGCTGCCGCAGGTCGAGCGCGCGCTGCGCTCTGCCGCCCTCCTCCTCGCCGAGGTCGAGCTGGTCGGTGCAGAGGTAGCGGACGAGGGCGGTGAAGGTGGCGAGGTCGGTGTTGCGCACCGTGACCTCGGCGGCGTCGCGCTCCTTCATGCCGATGCCGAACATGGTCCGAAAGAACACGGACCGCACGCAGAGGACACTTGCTGACGTGCTCGAGGCGCTTTTCGTCATCGCCGACGATGAAGGTGACCTTGCCCTCGGGGAGAGTGGGGTCGCCGCACATCTTTCCGAAGTCGTCCACCATGGTCGAGGGCGGCACCACAATCGGCGCGAAGGTGGGAGGCGGAGGAGGCGCCGACACGCAGACCTGGCGGAGGCCACCGTCGTTCGTGCAAACCAGCAGCGTGCTGCCGTCGGCGCTGACGGCGACGCCGAGTGGGTTTGTGAACTGCGCCGCGTCGCCCACGCCATCAGCGTCGCCGCTAGTGCCGCTGCCCGCGAGCGTCGTCACAGCACCCGTCGCCACCTCGACCCGCCGGATCTTGTGGTTGCCGAAGTCTGTCACAAACAGCGCGCTGCCGTCCGGGCTGATGGCGACGTCGATTGGGCGGTAGAACTGCGCCGCGCCGCCCGCGCCATCCGTGCTGCCGCAGTCGCCGCTGCCCGCGAGAGTGGTCACCGCGCCAGTCGCCACCTCCACCCGCCGGATCTTGTCGTTGAGGTGGTCCGCAACAAACAGCGCGCTGCCGTCTGGGCTGATGGTGATGCCGCTTGGGTAATAGAACTGCGCCGCGCCACCCACGCCATCGGCGCTGCCCACGGTGCCGCTTCCTGCCACCGTCGTCACCGCGCCAGTCGCCACCTCCACCCGCAGGATCTTGTCGTTGCGGAAGTCTGCCAGAAACAGAGCGCTGCCATCGGGGCTGATGGCGACGCCGTGTGCGTGTTTGAACTGCGCCGCGCCACCCACGCCGTCAGCGTTGCCTTCCTCGCCACTGCCCGCAAGCGTGGTCACCGCGCCAGTCGCAGCCTCCACTCGCCGGATCTTGTAGTTGCCGCAGTCCGCCACAAACAGCGCGCTGCCGTCCGGGCTAATGGCGATGCCGCGAAAGCTGACGCCTTCCAGGGCGGCCACGCTGCGCACGCGCCCGGCCGCAGAGACGTGCAGCACTCAGTCATCAGTGGTGACGTACCACGCGCCCGCGTGATCTCACGACACCATACACGGCAAGCGCTGCCAGAGGGCCGTCCTCTCCCTGGAGCGGCAGCGTGGTGACCTGGCCGAAGACGGGCGCGCCAAAGAGGGGCGCCTCGAAGGAGACGCTCCCGAGTAACGGATTTTGGCCCATGCGCATGCTCTTCCTCGTGCTCGCCGCGCGCTCGGGAGCCGGAGTGGCGGGGTCGGAGCTGCTGCAACGGCGCGAGTGGCCGCGAGGGGTCGTACTGGGGCTCTCCAGAGGGCGAGACCACTACGCGGTGCTCGCGGCGGCGCACGGGGCAGCTTCAGCTGAAACAGAGCCTCAGCAGCGCCTTCAGGCAGTGCAGCACAACGCCAGTGGCCTCTCTGGAGCTATGCGGCGGCTGGCGGGCCTGTGCGATGGCGCCGATCCGTGGGCTCGGGACGCGCAGTCGGCTCGCGTGCCGGTTGCCGAGTCAGCCTGGCTGGCGAGAAGCGCCAGGCGCGCATCGAAAAGGAAACGCAGTTTACCGAATACCGTTCCACCCCCTCGATCCCAAAGTGCGTCGCAGTACTGCGCCAGGTAGGTAGGTAGAAAGGTGAAGAACAGCCAGGCTCGGACTGGACACCAACGCGGTATGGGTGGACGCTGGACAGATGATGACGACACGCACGAGCGACACACAGACACAAACAGGCTCACAAGACACACAGCCAGCTGGCTGCCACACACCCTGAGTCGGCGTACACATAACTCAGGGCCACATCCTCCCTGTCGCCCCCCCCAGCACTCCACGGTGCCAAGGGCACAAACAAGGGCACAACAAACAACAGACGACAGGAATTGACATGTGAGGCTAGAGCAGCTTGCTCCACCTCTAGCAATCTCACCGGCCTGCGAGGCACGGACGAGACCGTATGTGGGGTCTAGTGAGGTGTCTATGGACGCTCTGCCGCCCCTTTACGTAACGGCTGAAAAGAATTTTTGGATGCAGGCGGCGATCCCAAAGTGGGCGGCTGTGGCAAGCAGGGTGCTAGGAACCTCATCGACACCAGCGCTCCTCCCTCGCGGTCAAGACGGAGGTGCCGGAGTTCACATGCCTCTCACTGCCGAGCAAGAGAAGGCGCTGAAGCCGCTGCTTTTAAAGGGCACGCTGGCGACCGACGCCTCCCTCGAGCCCTTTCTCGCGGCTGTCGAACCCGATCTGCTCGCAGCGCTTGGGACCGACCACCCGCTGGCCGGCGACTCGCTACAATTGCGCCGCTTCTTGGTCGCGAGAAAGTTCAAAGTGCCCGCGACGGTCGAGATGATATCAGCGCACGTCAAGTGGCGGGCCGAGAACTTGCCGATCAAGCCTGAGGGCGCCGTCCTCGCTGAGCTCCAGAAGGGCAAGTTCTATTCGTATGGCACCGACGCCGCCGGGCGGCCTCTCGTCCTCATACACAGCGGCAAGTTCGACCCGGCGACGCGAGACCTCGAGGCGAGCGTGCGCTCCGTCTTTTACGAGATCGAGAGGGTGATCGCGCAGCTGCCGCCCGGCCAGGCCCAGTTCGCCGTCTTTTACGACCGTACCGGCTTCTCCATCAAGAAGAACTGGGACTACACGCTGCTCAAGGCGGGTCGACGCCCCGTCCACGCCTCAGACTCACAGCCCTGAGGCTTTACCACCCACCCTCTGCACACCTCACCTCTCTCAGGCGGTATAGTGTAGTAAGCGACTCTTCACGAAGAAGACACACCCACAGCACGCCAGGCTCCTGCTGAGCTTTCTTTCTAGGCGGTCTTCACCCAGCTGAGCGACAACTACCCGGAGCGGCTCGGCGCCGGGCACCGCCCATGCAGATGTGGAACTCAATGCGCACATGTCTTCATTCGCAACCGAGACGACACGCGCCTTGTCAGCTGTGTATTCGAGGCTGTATTCGGCCGCACAACTCGTTTTGTTCATGGCGGTGCTCCGAGTGCGCTGCACGACCGAGTCCGCACTCCCGTGCCCTAACCCATTCGTACACTGCGACGGTCGCCTCCCGTCCGGCGAGCTCTCAACCACAACTAAATCATCGAACCACCAGATGATATTGCCGATTGGATGCATAAGGTACGTCTACCCGTCCGGCAAGCTCCTCCCGATGCTGTGGGGCCTGGTCAAGCACTTCCTCGACGCGCGCACACGTTCAAAGGTGCACGAGCCGCAGCCGCGCGGCGCCTTGCACTCTACTCATGCCGCGGGACGGGGATGGGGGGGGGGTGGCATGCTTGTGGGTCTGGGCGCCTGTGGAGATCGCGAGAGATTCTCCGCCTGGCCCTTCCCCCTACCGCTGTGCGTGTGGCGAGATGTGTTCCTCACCCCGGCCCCCGATCCCACTAGGTCAAGTTCATCAATACGCAGGAGGAGCTCCTCAAGAGCCTGCCCGCCGAGTACGCCCCGACCGCCTAGAGACGCGCAGCCAGCTCGCACTCTCATCAACAGTGCCCTCCCCCCCCCGCACTGCTGACGACGCAGGTACGTCCCGACGGCCTACGGGGGCAGCTCGACCCACGCCTTCGACCCCGCCACCTGCGGGCTAGTGTCGGGCGAGTGATGTGTCGCCGGGGTTCGCGGCGCGCAGCCCCTGGCCAGTGCCGTCGGCGCCAGTGCGGCAGTGGCCGAGCGCGTGCCAGTCGCAGGCCCCCTCACTCTTGGTCTCTCTCTCTCCCCCCCGGTCTTTTCGATCATCGAAAAAAGAAATAAATAAAACAGACAACCCATGCAAGGGAGGGTGGATGGGAGGACGGCACACCGCCACCACACAGGGATTTTAAGGAGAGAAGTGCGGTGCTAGCCGTCGTCCACCCTTCTTCCACCTCGCAGCGGTCTGTGTTCGGCTGTGGACTTAGGGTGCGCTTTGCCGTCAGCGCCTGTGTCGAGCCTGTCTGCTGTGTGAGAGAGAGTTGTCCTTAGGCGGCTCCCGTGGGTTCCCTGTGATAATGGAAAATTCTTTTGCAGAAAATTCTTTTTCTGGCTTGGCTGCAATCCCGCGCTCGCACACGACGAGCATGCCCTCGCTCCTCCTGCCCGACGCTCAGCCGGTGCTCACCGCTCTCGCCATCCTCGCCCTCACCGCCACTTGCCGCTTTGGCTTTGCCGTCGTGACTCGGCTCCTCGGCACCTCCAAGTTGCTGCTCTGGCCGGCAGCCGGTGCGATGGCCGCTCTACCCTTTGTGCTCCGCGATCCGCTCCTCGCGTGGTGGGGAGGCACGTACGCCGACGCGCAGCTCGGCTCCTTCCTCGCAGCGACCGCCTTCGCTTGGTGCTTCTTCCGCGCCATCGAGCGGAGCGTGGGCACCACGCCGGTCGGCGCCGCCGCCAGCCTCGCCGAGTGGATCTTCTACATGTCGGCCGACGTCGATCCGCGCTACAGGGACGGCAAGCCGCTGCGGCCGCCGCCCGGCAAGCTGCGGTCTCAGCTCGCCAAGCTCTGCGCGACCTACGCGGCCACTGCGGCCTTTGTCAGCGCAATTGAGCCGTTTGGGTTTCGGCCTACCGCGGCGGTCTGCGAGGCGTGCGGCGTGAGCGGGCCGCTCGCCGCTGCTCTGGTGCGCGTTGGCGACAACTTGAGCGGTGCCGCCTTCCGCTCCTCTGCCGCCTCCGCTCCCCTGCTCCTCGCGAGCCAGCTCGGAGCCCTCGCCGAACCTTCGCGGAACCTTCTCTCCGCAGGCACCGTCCTCATCTACCTCTTCCTCTCCCTCCTCCTCACGCTGGGCTCGATCCTCGTCCTCGCGCAGGGCCACGACCCGATCGACGGCGGCGTCACCCCGTCCCCTACCCCCACGGTACCGAACCCATACCTTACCCCCACGGTACCCAAACCCACTTGCCTGCAGGCTTCGACAACCCTGTCTTCAAATCCTGCAGCCCGCGCGAGTTCTGGGGCCGCCGCTGGAACTTGCAGGCAAATCTCCCCATATCTCCCCATATCTTGGGCATTCACTGGAATCTCGCAGCCAAGTGGGTTCGGGTGACGTGGGGGTAGGGTAAGGTCCCAGCCTGCAGGCAAGTGCAGCAGCTGCGAATCTCGGCTGGGTCACGGCCAGATCTGGGCAAGTATCTGGCCGAGATCTCGGCGGGATCTTGGCGGGATCTCGGCGAGATCTCGGCGAGATCTCGGCGACGGGGCGGCGGCATCGACAGACATCGACGCCGCCGCCGCCGCCGCCGCGTCAAGACGCGTTCGCATAGCCCCGCCTCTTCCCGCGCCGCAGGTGAACGCGATGCTCAAGCGCAGCTGCTACAAGCCTCTCGCCGGCGCGGGGCTGGCGGCCCCCCTCGCCACCCTCGCAACCTTCGGCGCGACCACCCCACGCCCCCCCTCCTCCGACCCGTCGACTGCCCCGCACAGCGCGTCTCTTCACACCTGCCTGCTGCTGTGGACAGGTGCGTCGGCCGGCTTCCACGAGTACCAGTTCGCGCTGTCGATGCCAGGCTACAGGCCCGCACGTTATCCTTATCGCTGCCACTACTGCTGCTACTGGTACTCTCATCATCATTGTTGAGTGTCATCGTCAGTGTCCTGCACAGGGTGGGCACCGCCTCCGTCTTCTTCCTCGGCCAGGTCTCTCTCTCTCTCTCTCTCTCTCTCTCTCTCTCTCTCTCTCTCTCTCTCTCTCTCTCCCTCCCTCCCTCCCTCCCTCCCTCCCTCCCTCCCTCCCTCCCTCCCCCCCCCCTCTCTCCCCCCCCCTCTCCCCCCCCCCCTTCTCTCTCTCTCTCACTCTCACTCTCATCTCTCTCTCTCTCTCTCTCTCTGTCTCTCTGTCCTGCTGCAATTGTTTGGGCGCCTCGTCCCCTTCCACGTCTCGACCATCAAGTCGGTCTCCAAGCACGAGGAGGGCGCGTGGACCTT